TGTGAAATTACAATGCCAAACACAAGCCCATTGATAAGGGTCCTCCAGTCTGAACCATAATCACCCCTCACGCCATCCAAACAAAGCCAACGCAATATGCACCGCACGCCACAATCCAGCCCCCTTGCTCTAGCTCCCCCACAAAAGCCATCCTCCCTGGCTAAATCCTAAATAGACCCGTCGTCCAAGTGGGGAAGAGTCTGGGGTGTCTGTTACCCCAGACAGAGAAAGTCTACGAGATGCCGGGCTCGGACCTTATTTCCAGGGGGTGAGGGGTTCGTGACTGTGTCATGTGGTGGTACAAGCTCGGTTAGGCGTCGTGTCTGGCGATCCTGGTGCTGTAGGAAGCACTGCTGCTCAGTGGTCTGGTTGGATGGCGCAGTTTCCCAGCCGTGAATGGAGATAACGTTGAGATTATGCTTGGCTTGGCTTCGCTTGGTTGATGATACCCCAGCCGCGACAGAGCCAATCCCCATACGAGGGCGATCGCTCTCTTGTGATTCTTGGATGCGAATGGCGGCGTTATCTTTCTGTTTTGATCGCAGTGCATTGCAGGTGTCGTGTAGACACCTCGTTGGACTGCTGCATATGCACTTCGCGTCTGTTTTGGTCGCGGCGCAGGTCGCTTTATCGGTAAATTTTGACCGTCCCTATGCACGTTAGCAATCTTTTTCCCAACCAATCCGACCTAACCGCAAAAAGTAAAGGGAAGGGGATAGATACCATCAGAACAACCCCCAGCCCAACAACCCCCCTTCTCATTCCACGCCACGCAGCTCACCACCCGCACGCCCTCCCCCGCAGAAACACAACCCACGACCTCCCCACTAAGCACATCCCACGCAAACACCGCCGCATCATCGTATCCACTCTCCTTATCTGCCTCGCTGCCGCTCAGCACGACCGCATCGCCCTGCGCAAACACAGACCGCACCCGCAGCTCGCTGTTACGGTATCGCCTCGGGCCTCCAGCACCGACGGCGGATTCATCCGTCTCAAATGCCTTTAGTAATATTTCCGTTCGCACGGTCGAGCATGCGGATATGGCTGTCCAGCGTGG